TGCTTCATGCGTTTCATTCACGTTGTTGTTGTTGTTAGCTGCCGTCAAGTCCACTATGACTCCTAGCGACCATATTGTGAACAACAGCTCTGAACCCTGTCCTGTCGTGTTCCTGCCTCATCATCGCTGACACACGTGAGCCCATTGCTGCAGTCACCGTGCCAGTCCATTTCACTGAGGGGCTTCCTCTCTTTTGCTGACTGTCCATCTTTCTAATCATGGTGTCCCTTTCCACGGAATACCACCCCATTCTAGCAACAAGCCTAAAACATGTGAGACAAAAGTTTCGCCATCCTTGCCTCTAGGAAGCACTGTGGCTGCACCTTCTTCAAGACATATCTGTTTGTTCTTTTGGCAGTCCATGAGATTTTCAATACTCTTCTCCACCACCAAAATATTAAACTATCTTCTTTCATCTTTATTCATTGTCCATCTCTTAGTTGTATAGCACATGATTGGAGAGACCATGGCCTAAATTAGGCAAACCTTAGTCTTTAAACTGAATCATTGCTTCTCAGTATTTTGGAGGGGTCCCTGACAGCAGACTTTCCCAATGCAATACATCTTTTGATTTCTTGATTGCTAGTCATCTAGGTTGACTGTGATGCTGAACCTTCTGCATCATGGGGTGTCAAAGGCCATAATGTTTTCCAAGTGTGGACAGTGTTTGGTGGAGCTCCCAGTTGTAAAACGGGGTTGGAAGCAGGGGTGGCATCCACTTCCTAAAGCACATGCCTATGGAAACTCTCTGAACTTAGAGAAATGATGATAGTTCTAGAAAGGCATTACGTCTTTTGTTCATAGAGTTGCTATGAGTCATGCTTGACTCGACAGCAATCCACAACAACAACAGTGGCTCTAAGTAAGAGGATACCGACAGTTTTGAGTGTTTCTACATCTATCATGATGTTGCTCTGCATTTTTGGATTTCTTCAGAAGAATTTTAAAATATATTTATGTAGTTTTAAATTTTTATATTGCGATTTGAATGAATGTTTCCCCGAGCATATTGGTTTCCCATTTCACCATTCATCCACATTTTGTTTTAGGGCATAAATTACAATATTCACAGAGAGCACAGAGTTCCCCATTCCTCCTTGTGAGTCTCATTTCCACTTATCCTTCTGTCTTACCCTTTCCTGCTTTCTGAGCTTTATCCAGGAGCAAATCCTGCCCTTTAAATGTTACGTGATTAGTTAGTCTAAATGAGAACTCTGGTGGTTTAGTGTGAAGTAATTGTGCTATCAAGCCAAAGGTATATGGTTCGAATCCTCTTAACTGCTATGCTGCAGGAAAATGGGCAGTCAACTCCCGTACAGTTTACTGTCTCTGAAAACCCACTGAAGGGTCAGCTAT